TTTGTTTCTGGCTTCCAGGTGTCCTGGGAAGACATCCAGTGTACCTACGGAAATCCTAACTACCACTGGTAAGAAACGTACTTGGATAATGGGAGCCCGATGAGCTCATATAGGGTCCTTGGAGCTGCATGAAATGCCCGTTGATCCCCCTGTGATTGACATGCTGATGGCTCACGGTCCGCCTCATCTTCAGCACTCACCCTGCTCCCCGACTTGTCTCACACGTCACACTCCAGGAATATTAAAGCAAAGATCACAACTGTTTTTTTAAATGTTATTTTTGGAGATGGGGTCTTGCTTTGTTGCCCAGGCTGGAGCACTGTGCTGTGTTCGGAGCTCACTGCAGCCTTGAACCTCTGAGCACAGGCGATCCTCCCACCTCAGCCTCCTGAATAGCTGGGACTACAGGCATGCACCACCATGCCTGGCATATTTGATTTGATTTTTGAGACAGAGTTTCACTCTTGTTACCCAGGCTGGAGTGCAATGGCGGGATCTCGGCTCACTGCAACCTCCACCTCCTGGGTTCAAGCGATTCTCCTGTCTCAGCCTCCCGAGTAGCTGGGACTACAGGTGCACGCCACCATGCCCAGCTAATTTTTGTATTTTTAGTAGAGACGGGGTTTCACTATGTTGACCAGGATGGTCTCAATCTCTTGACCTTGTGATGCACCTGCCTCGGCCTCCCAAAGTGCTGGGATTAAAGGCGTGAGCCACCGCGCCCGGCCACTGGTTTTTAAAATTGTTTGCTTACGTAACTTGCCATAACATTAAGACTATGAACTCTTTTGGGGGAAGGATGACTTTTTTCATATTTCTTTGGCTTGCATTAGTAAGTATCAATAAATATGTTTATAACCAATGAGCACAGAGGAGAAGCTGGAGAGAAAGAGGCTGGATGAAGTTAAAGCAGAGAGACTTTGTAAGTTTCTTAGCTGAGCTTTGAGGTTGTACATCAGAAATGCTACATGAGGTGATTTTCAGCTACAGAGATAGGCCTGGTCATTTGAAAAGTAATGGATTAGGTGAAGCTCTCGTTTGGAATCTTCGTTCTGCTTTTCATCTTTCTCTCCTGTTTATTCTGAGCATCCTCTTAGACACCCAATCTCTGCCACTGAGTGGCTGCCATTGATTTGCCTGTTACTGAGATCAGAGGTTGGCAGCCTTCCCTTGTAAAGGGCTGGAGAGAAAGTTCTTCAGGCTTTGTGGTCTGTACAGTGTCTGCTGCAGCCACTGAACTCTGCCCTGTAGAGCAGAAGCAGCCACAGACCGTACCTGGGCGAATGAGCATGGCTGGGCCCAGGTAAATTTATTTCCAAAAAGGGGCTTTGAGGCTGGGTGTGGGCTCACACCTTTAGTTCCAGTACTTTGGGAGGCCGAGGCAGGAGGATCATTTTCGGCCAGGAGTTCAAGACCAGCCTGAGCAACAAAGCAAGACCCATCTCTACAAAGAAATTTAAAAGTCAGGCCGGGCGCGGTGGCTCACGCCTGTAATCCCAGCACTTTGGGAGGCCGAGGCGGGTGGATCACGAGGTCAAGAGATCGAGACCATCCTGGTCAACATGGTGAAACCCCGTC